CACACACACACACACACACACACACACACACACACACACACACACACACACTCTGTCTATCACACACACAGACAGGTGTGTGTGTGTGTGTGTGTGTGTGTGTGTGTGTGTGTGTGTGTGTGTGTGTGTGTCTTACTGTCATGATCAGCCAAGGTGAAGTCCCCCTCGTACAGCCCGTCACTGAAGGCCATCCCCCACACTGAGATTAGGTCGTTCAGAGCAGGAACGTTAGCGCCCCCTGTGTCCGGCATCCACCACTGCCTGCAGGTCACACCAACAACACATCTCTGACAACTCATATACTGGAAGCAGCAACACAAATACTGTATACATCTACATAAAAAAAACTTATAGAAAACACCCACTGCTTTTCAATACAGGATAAAGGATTAGTTTTAATTTGTGCCACAAACAGACAACTGATGGAAAGAAGTACTATAGCCCAAATACGAATAAACAAAAAGGTTCTGTGAAAGTTGTTCCATTAAAGAATATAAAATAAAAGATGTATACAATTAAATATAATGTATACAAGTATACAAATTAATATTATTTCACAAACACAGTGTCATGCTTGAGTATGCACGCTAGTTGTCCATTTGAACCTATGATTTGAACACATGTATGTAATACATAGTAAAGTTTGAGCAAAAACTGATGTGAAGGATTGAGCATACATTTGTATAAGGAGACTGGATTTTAAGTTATTTAGCAGTTTATAATTAGATGTTTCGTAAAGTTTTGCTGTTGTCAAACACAGCGACAATTTAGATCAATTCATCAAGATATTTTTGTACATTTTTGTATTCTTATTTGTTACATCCTCAAAAACCTATATGCCACTACAGGAGAGGGAATAGCGGTAAAAGCATAATAGAGCCACTATAAGAATTCAAGGTTACACGGTATAAGTGATTGGTGAAGAAAAATAAGTAATCGTATATGAACAAAGTCATTTTCCTAGAAATAAATCAATATAAAATCGGACAAAACCGAGCATCAAAATAAAATGATGTTTTAAAGGATGAAATGGCATTAACTTTGAGAACATAAGGAAATAAGTTCCAATGAACAAAGAGATGAATCATCGCCATTCAATTAAAAGTGAATTACTCAGAAAATATTTGGAAGCCCTAAAGACTATATTTGACTGAATTTAAGACTTTCATCCTGTGGATATTGTGCAACAGCTTGGGTGGGATATGAATGGAGTAGCAAGGAGATGCGGCACGTGTTGTGATTTATAACTTCTATTACAGAGCGAGGACACATAAACACAGTCCAACACTGCGGACAGACACAGGGATACAGCGAGCTGCTGTCTGACACATGCAGTTTATCTTCAGAACAAAGCTGCTGGAGAGAGCCAGATCTCCGTAAGGTGAGAGCTGTTAATCATGGCACTGTCTCTTAATGGAGGGAGAGGACACATTTTAGAGAAAGAGATATAGGGAGCTTCCAAAATGAAGATGAATCACAGTCAGAGAGGATATTCAATTACTGCTGTGACACTTTAAGTTCCTCAAACTCATTTTATAATAAGAAATCATTCAATAAAACACTTTGCATATCATATTGAATTTTGTTCAGATATTTAGATCAGAAAGAGATTGGTTTTATTCCAATAAAACATTAAGAGTTGTGAAGGCTTATCTTCTTTTTTTTTCTCTTTTTTGGTCACATAAGGCAATGTCAAAGTATGAGTCCGTGCCAATTTCAGCCAAAAGTACATGATACTTGCCGTCTATAGAAGGCCCTGAAAATGTCTATTCTAATTCCGACTGTTGATTCCAGTACAGGTTCAGCACCTCTTTTCACCAGAGCCCCGTCTGCCCTGATTGGTGGCTGGCGGGGTCTGTTGTGATTGGTCAAACACTTAGAGACAATAGGCCCTCTATAAAGGGGAGATTTTGGGGGGTTTTCCCTTTCTATAATAGGGCCCCTTTAAGTTTAACAGTCAACAACGCCACTTCAGACAAATATTCATAAATTGTTGCTTTTGCAAAAAAGCATGTGGTGTCAGCTTTTATGTTGGAGTATACATACTTCTAACCAAGAGTGGAGCAAAACAAATCCTTCATGTAAAACAACCAGAAATGGGCCGATAGTAAGACATGAGAAAGCAGGCTTTAATGGCCTTTAACATTAGCCTGTCTTATTGCCGTGACAGTAGTAAAGTCAGTGATGGCTGCTCACCTGGTGTTTTCGTCATAGAACTTGACCTTCCTCATGACCGAGGTGTTGTACCAGTCGCTGAAGACGATGAGCGACAGGCCGTTGTCGATGTCTCTCCTCAGCTTGGTGATCTCTTCGGGGAAATACTCCTCCTCGCTGTCCACCATCATCAGAGTGCCTGTGGAGACAACAGAGCCAACCACACATTAGCTTGATCTCTTTTGCTCCACCATTAGCCGATAGCACTCTGAGAAAAAGAAGTGGAAATCTTCAGTTTTTTGTCCCTGTGCTCTTACCGTACTGGCTGGCATCAAAGCAGGTGATGGGCGCTCCGAGCACCTCCACAAAATATCCCATACTCCTCAGGTGCTGGTACATGTCCCTGAAGTTAGTGTGGATGTGGTCTCCGTTCCTGAAACATACATTTAATCAAATCCATTTGACCTTTCAGTTGCATATGGTCAAATATGCTAATAAAACAAACATTTGAAAACACATATTCAACCAAATCAGTGATGGGAAAAAAGATGGGTGAAGCAGGAAAGTCTTATAGACATCAAGTAGACATCTCCACACACGCACCAGTCCAGTGGGTCGTTCTTCATGCGGAGGTTGTCTCGGGGAAAGTATCCGGGGGGGTAGCGCAGGTTGTGGTACTGATCCCAGAGCACCCTCTTACTGCGAGGGGGGGTCGGGACGATCTTCACCTTGATTGGAAGTTTGACTGTGGAGGTCATCTCACCACCCGCCTCCGACTGTAAGGGGTTAAAGGTCAGGAAGGTGGATAAGTTATTACTGAAGAGGAGTTTTCAATAACACAAGATAGATCATTTCAAATCTTAACCAGGGTACTTCTGCAGTTCCAGGTGCAGGGATAGTACATGGAAAGATGATGGAGTAGTGCAATTGATTAAAAAAGATACACTGAAATTATGATTTATTCTGAAAACTAAATCCACTTATTGTGATGATGAGAACAATACACATTGGAATAAGCCAACCAATGTGGTTATTTGCTTATATTGCTACACACATACACAGAACAGTCTTGTTGAAATGTGAAATGTTCAGAATCAATTCAATTAACTCAGGACAGACCTGAGTTAATTGAACATGTATGAAATGATGTTTCTGTGGTTTCATAATAATCATTACAGCACTGCATTTATGTGATAAAAAGGAAATTATTTAGTTGCTTCTTAAATCAAGTCTGAAATGCAATATCACAAATGTATATACACAAGGCAGACGTGTGATAACGATAGCAGCACATTTATTCTCAAAAGTTCTTTATTTTATTCTCAACATTTTAAGTTTATTTTCAAATCCACATCTGATTTATTTTTCTTATGCCTGGTACTAAAGCCAAACAAAATCTTCCTCCTCTAATTTTTCCCCCAATGCCTTGCTCGTTTACTCTTAAATACACTTCCTACCAATTTAAATCATTAACAACACAGTTAACATGTCACAAATGAGTGCATTCAAGAGAATAATGTTGCCAAAGTAATGAATAACTGGTTTACCTCGAATTGTTACTTCAAAGTAGTATCGTGTGTGTGATGTACAATTAATATAATAAAACTAAAACATTGTCAAGTGAATGAAATAAGGATATTGTGCGTATCCATTTTCTTTGTAGTGTAACTCTTAAAATCAGTTTGAGACATTTGGAGGTAAGCTGTTGCTGCGGTGACTCACATTGTTCTCTGCAGGCGACGCCACTGTGATCATCACATGACCCTGAGCGATCCCTTCCCATGATGCCGCTTTCTTGGCCACGGAGATGGACACGGCCAGGTACCCGGCCCACGGCCACAGCACGGGGGAGTAGGACACGGCCACGTCAATGTGGTCTCCGTTCTGAGGGAGGTACGGCTGCCAGATGGGCTGAGCAGGAGACAGGAAGCTTTAGAACGCTGACAGGGAGACGTTTCAACCACTCTCAGATCATCATGATGCAGAACCAGGCCACACAAGGATGGAATTCATCATACACCTGTCCTCTAAAAGAACTTAGAGATGTGTGTGCTGTTGCAGAGGAGCATTCAACTGTTATGCTGAATTAAGGGCCTTTTTGGATTTATTTAAAGTATTTTATTTAATTTGTAATTATTTATATCAGAAACATTTTAGCAAGGGTGCAAAGGGACATTTTTCTTAGAATTTTGTAAGTTTAAAAGAGCCCTGTTATGCTCATTTCTAGGTTTCATATAAGTATTGTGTGCCTCTACTGGGACATGTCTCCATGCTTTAATGCTGCTGCCTGTGCTGCAGCCACTCTTTTCACCCTCTGTCTGAAACCAGAGCCCAGTCTGCTCTGATTGGTTAGCTGGTCGGCTCTGTTGCGATTGGTGAACCGCTTAGAGATTTCTACGCTGAGTGTTGCATCATAATCAGTGGCGGCCGGCCCATAGGGGCGCTAGGGGCGCCGCCCCCCTCTTCCTACATGTTTGATTGTCATTAAAAAATAAATTTAAAAAAAACTTTAAAAAAAAATATATATATTTTATTTTATTTTTAATGAACAAGGTAAATATTATATAGTTGGTATCAGTAAAATGTATAATCTACAATAAAATCTCGTTTAAAATTGTTTTACGATGTCTAAAGTTACTGATAAGTCACATGTTTCCTGCCTGGTGTATCATTACCCTCTCTCGTCCGGGCGGTAGAAAGGAGTCCTCAGCCAGAGCAGCAGCAGCCAACAAGCTGACTGTTGCTATCTGTAAACTATGCCGCCGAAACATAATTATATAAAAGGTCTGCAGGTGGAGACTCCGGTGCTAGTGGATCACCGGAGCTGTAGATTAACATTTACATGCTTATTGTAGTTGTAAGGGCAATGCCTGTAGCACCATGGAGCATATGTGTGGGCTGGACCTGTATTTTACAGGAAAGGAGTGAGCAGAGGGTGGAGTTGTCGATTCTTGTTCAGTTTTCTTCCTCACCCTCTCAAACTTTGAGTTGCACGCGCTGCTAAAGAGACGCGCTACCATGGAAACCAAACAATGGTGTAGCTGTATTAAAGTCCGAGTGGAAAACAGTTGTAAGTAAATCTGATTTTGTCAGAAATATGACCACGGGAGGAAACCGGGAGAGGGCAAGGAAATCGGGAGTCTCCCGCAAAAATCGGGAGGGTTGGCAAGTATCACACACACTAATTTAGATATATAGAGACAGAAAAACCAACCAGAATAAAAAGAATCAGCTGGGCTGCCTCAACTGACCTGAAGCTATGGGATCACACACACACACACACACACACACACACACACACACACACACACACACACACACACACACACACACACACACACACACACACACACACACACACACACACACACACACACACACACACACACACACACACACACACACACACACACACACACACACACACACACACACACACACACACACACACACACACACACTTTTCAGTGTCCCAGTAGACAACGAACCCCCCCTGCTCGGGTACCCCGAACATTTTTTTCGGGGCACCCACATTTTTTTAATCCTCTGGAGCAGAGAGAGGAGCTGTGGATTATTGTTATTGATATCGTACAGTAACAAAGTATTTGTACATTAAAAAGTAATAAAGTTCAGTGTTACACTGTACTTTATTACTTTAATTCAAACTGTATTCCCTTCTTATCATGTAGCCTACACTTCTTCCTTTCAATGATACATTTAAATCACCTGACTACAGCATATAACATACCTGCTGCAACCCTGTGCTGCTGCTGCTGCTTCTCTCTGCCTCATCCTCTATTGCTGGAGGCAGCTCCACCTCATCTGATCTCTGATATGAAAGCAATCTTGTTATGATCATATTGAGCTATCGGTGTGAGTCTAACATTAAACAAGCAGTCTGCTTGTCATACATTGCTGACGATACATTTTAAGTGGCAATTTGTTGAGTCACTGCCGCTAAATGCCGGTAGCATCAAGCTAGCAATGCAATGCAATCCTGCATTAGCCTCACATCAACAGGTGTAGAAAGAACATCCAATTATCCTGAGCGAATTTACTGAATAAACCAACTCACATCTCCTGTCTTTTTTTTCACCTAACTCATTAGACTATTCTTCTGCTGGCGTTTCATTGTGGTTTTCTGTCAAATTCAATACTGTAGTTCAAAACCGTGGTACCTGCTCACCATCTGTGAGCTGGCAGACAGAAGAGCTCGGGGCAATAACACTTTGTTGTTCTCCTCCTTTCCTCCGCTCTTGTCTCTGATTGTGAGTG